CTTAAAACTTAGTAATGGTTGAATTCCAATATTTTAGATCTTAACATATTTGTTAGACCCATACTACCTTGGATTTGGTTGACTATCAAGTCCAAGCTTTTTGGGTGTAATATATTTATCAGACCCATGCTGTTTTGGGTTTTAGTTTATTGTTAAATCCAAGCTTTTGAGTTTGACATGTTTGTTAGACCTAAGTTATCTTGGGTTTGACTGACTATCAAGCCCAAGTTCTTTGAACCTGACTTGTTTGTCAGGCCCATTTTACATGGTTAAGATTTTTTTTATTTATAAAAATCTTAACCAAATATTTTAACTTATCACTTTTAGTACTTTGTAATTATCTCCCCCTCTTTCACACACAAGCACAAAGATGGACTTTAGACATTTCAGTCATGGTCATAATCTGGCTTTCTATAAGTAGATCAATGAGAAAGTGAATTAGATTGTATAAGTGACACATAAGAAGGATGTAGATGAGACTCTCACTTGTGAGGGGTGCATTCAAAACATTCATAGTCTTAACTATATTTATAAAACTTATGAGTATGACTTTGTCTGCATAAATTGTGCTTTGAATTTCCCATTGGACTTGTACATCCTCTTCATTTGCCTAATCACTCTCTCAGTCTCTTTCCTAAAGGCATTGATTTTTAAAAAATAAAGTCGATTTGTTTTTTTTAATAGAGGAATTGGTCCACTAGTTGGGAACTGATCAACCGATTAGATTAAATAAATTGATTGAATAGTTGAGAAATGATTGACCTATACAGTCAGTAGAATATATACAATTCATGCTCAGATTATGATTTCCTTATATTAGTTTAATTCATTAATTGTCTAGACTTTTATGATTATAAAAAAGCTTGTAATTTAGTATTATTAAGTAGCACATAAAAGAGAGAGAATAGCTAAGAGAGTTTAGAGAGAAACATTTAATAAAAATACACCTTCATCTCAATCTTCTTCTTGTTCTTGAGTTTTTGACTTTGCGTTATTGTTTTTGATCTTATACCACACCTATTTCTTTCAAAAAGTGATATCATATCTTATGTTTGATTATTTAATATAGTTAATCCAAACTTCTCACTTCAATGTCCCAGGTTGACAAATAACAACTATGAAACTTGTTATATTCAAGTAAAAGTTTGGTTAGGTTCCTAGGATATATAAGAGATGATTGAAAAAGGTTTTAAGAAGCTTATAGATGGAGGAACATTGACTTCAGCCTAAAGAAAGACCATGCAAAAAGCATAAAGACAGGATCGGTAAGCATTAACAATTATCTATCAAAGCTTGGATGATGTCACTTTTAAGATAGTGACTAACACAACCATCGTCAAGCAAGCATATGAAGTTTTGCAAGAATCAAACTAAGAAGCTGATAATGTGAGAAAGATATGTCTATAAAAGCTACGTGGTGACTTTGAAAAATTATATACACTTGAATCAGATAATATTTCATAATACTTTGCATGAGTATGCAAAGTATCATCCATATACAATCAAATGAAGAGATATGGAGAGAAGATAGAAAGGACACATGTGATAAAAAAGATCATACTTTCGCTTCAAAAGAAGTTTCATTATATGGTGGTTGTGATAAAAAAAAAGTCACAAAATATGGATGTTCTTTCAATACAATGTCTCATGAGAAAATTTAAGCCAATAAGAAAGGAGTCAAATGAGATTCAAGAGGATATGAGTGCATAATCACTCTTTTAAAAGCAAGATAGTTCTGAATATTTCCAAGAGAGTATAGGACGTGGACAGAGTAAAAAAGAAATGAGGAAAATGCATATTTGAAAGAGAAGGTTGTAACAGTCTAAATAAGTTGATTGGTTGACTAGTTACATTAAAAGTGACAATCCAAAATCCAAACTTGACAAATCAAAAGTTAAATGCTATAATTTTTAAAAGGCAAGTTATTATACTAGAGGTTGTTGGAGTCTAACCAAGAGAGTTGATGAGAATGCAAATTTTATGATAAAAAAAGAAGAAGAAGAAAGCTATCATGTTACTAGTGCATGATAAGAGAATGCAAAATAAAAAAACATGTGGTATTTAGATAATGAAGTTAGCAATCACACATGTGCATACAAAGATAAACTCATTGAGATGGATGAAGTGATTAGAAATAATGTCACCATTGTGAATCATTTAAAAGCTATCATCAAATGAAAATGTACAAATTTGATTAAATTAAAAGATAGAAGTGATTAATTTATTAGTGATGTTTATTATATATCAATGATAAAAAAACAACATATTGAGCTTAGAAAAATTATTAGAGAATAAGTATAAGATTAATATAAAAAATCATACTTTGACATTACTTAATACTAAATTTTGTTGAACAAATGGTAAGTTAACCCAATTTTTTTGAACAAAACATTGTTGTTCTAAACTTTGTTTTTTAATGAAACTTCATTTAAGTACAAAAAAAATAAAAATATTTCAAACTGAACATGGTTCGGACAAGGTTAGGGATTGAATTGCCCAGATAAAATGAGTGTTTTTTTGTTTCTATTAACACCTGGGTGTCCCCACACTCTAATGAGTGTAAGACAATCTCGTTCAAGTTCGTAGTTGCCCTTCTAATAAGAATGCTTCGATCACCAGCCCAACACCTTGACAGTGTCAAGATGCAAGATGGATTTTGTAACAATGCAGAGTACACTAATAATCGAGGTAAACTTTCTTATCAAGTTTCTTAGGTAAAAATGCTGACATTAAGCCAAAATGTTGTCGAGGCAGTAGAGTTTTGACACAAAGTGATGTGATTTAAACCGGTGACAATCATGAAGACGAATATTCTATCTCAAAACTAACGGCTACTAAAGTTAATTATGCTTTTTGACCAAGGTGAATTACAGTTTGAAAAGAAGCCAATCGGAGCATGTGCCATCTCTTTATCAATATTGTTCAATACACAGTGGAATAAATTAACATCAGGATCCTTCATCTTTTCAGCTTCACTGTGGACTTTTCTAGTTCTGTTTGTATGCTCTACAGCTGCAAAGGTCTGTGCTTTTTCTTTCTTTTTTTAACCCATTTGCTAAGCTTAATAGCTTCCCCCCTGGGCTGCTTAGTGCTAATTTTGTGTTAGGAGTTTGATCCCCTCTCTAACAGGCAATATTACTTTTTTTTGTGTGTGTGCAAGCAGAGAACAGGCCATATTTCATTAATTGCTCGAATATCAATAGTACTGATGGTGATGACCCTCAGTCCCCAGTATCATAGGATCCCTTTCTCTTGTTATATTCTGCTGGACCAGACACCCTCAGCTTCTCTTACCCTAAAAGACAATGGCTTGTGGTTTGGGCACTTGCTTACAATCCTATCCCAGATAATTGTTCCTTTCTCGTAATTTAATCAATTTTCAGGAAACGAAAATGTTATGAAAATAAATAAAAAAAGGGGAAGTTATTGTTGTTTGTAGTATATTTTACTGTTTTGAAATTATAGAAATTTATTTTATAATCATTAATAAAAATAGATTTATTTTATGTTTTCGTTTTCGTTTTCGTTTTTGTTTTTTCTGTATTTTTTTTTAATTTCAAACACTAACCAAATGCAACATTATTACTAATCCATTTAGATCTTAAACCTTAGAAGAAGAGTTCATGAGTAATTAAGTGGAGACACATCTGGGAGGCACCATTGGAAACTTCAGATGATCTTGAGATTTCTAAGACATTTAGATTTTAAACCTTAGAAGAAGGTCCAATTGTTGGGGGTGTGATCGCAATCTGTCACATTATGCTCTACTGTTTGCCACAAATCTACCTGCTGCTTTCAATCCATTCACAAGCAGAAGCTAGCTTTAGTTGATGGATCTTGGAGTGCTATTAACATCAACAAATTTTCTCTCCTTTTTTGCAGGTTAAACTTCTCTTTCGAGTAGTCAAAATAATTATGTGAAAGATGTGCTATTAGCACGGAATATCTTCTACCTTTTGTACCCTACTGTCAATGTACCGGCACACTCTTAACTACGAGGTAAATCATGGGGCATTTGTTTACGTTGTTTGTTCTAAAACAAGCTAAAAAACAATTAAAATAATATTTTAAATTTAAATCACATGTTGAAACGCTACATTTGACGCTAAACAAACGGGTTCTGCCTCATGTTCTCTTGGCATTATAAACTAGTGCTTGTCCGATTCACGAAAGCAAAAGGAATTTGAGTCTCAGAAAATGAGGGCTCATTAACCATGGTCTCAAGCCCGAATAAAACAAGGTCAACAACGACCCATAATTTGCTCTTAACCAGACAACCCACAACATTAAATTATAAGCAAACAAAGGCAATAGCGGTCTTGAGGGTAGGTGTTTTTTTTTCAGTATAGAAGTGATTGTTTTTTTAAAATTTTATATTTTAAAAAATATTGAAATAATGTTTTTTTTATTTTTTTATATTAATATATTAAAACAATAAAGAAAATACTAAAAAAACCAAAACCAAAAAAATAATTTAAATTTTAATAAAAAAAACTAAAACTCCCTCTCAAACATTAATGAAAGTCCACCTGCTTTCAAGTGCGAAGCACATGAATAGCTTATATCTTCGACAAAGATACCATAATCTTAATGAAAGCTACGTGTCTTGTACGTTGTTTTCTTCTCTCTTATCCCCACAAACACATGCACTTGGTTTTGATCCATACAACCACTGCGACAACTACAATTTATTTCCCTAAAAATTCTTTACTGACTTTTTTCTTTTCTTTCTTACATGATTTAATATTCTCCTATGCGTTGACCCAAAAAATGCACTTCATTTCTTGCAGTTTTCAAGTAACAATACATTATCTTGATAAATATACCTCTCTCTCTCTCTCTCTGTCTCTGCCACCATGCGAGGGACACAGCAAAACTCCACCCCATAAACAATAAGCACAAACAGAACTAGAAGTAACATTCAAAGTGGTCTTGTGAGCTTGTCCTTAATTCGTGGTCCCATTCCAATACCCTTCTCAGTACATCACAAAGATCCCATAAAACCAAATGATTTTTATTTTTATTTTTATTTTTTGAGAAGATGGTCTCAATATTGCAAGCAGGAGCAATAATTTTTTCCTTTTTTTTTTTTTTTGACACAACCAACTGAGATAGCAATGAGTTTCTTTGCTTGAAAACATAGCTCTTTCTTTTCTTTTGGCTTTTTTTTTTTTTTTGGGGGGGGGGGGGGTTTCTGTTGTGATGGCGACATTGATGATGCTAAGAGATATGGACCGATTACAGAGTCCCAATATTATCAGAACTAAGAAAAACTGAAACAAAATATTGCCATCACTTGCTGCTGTGGCCATTCAATCTTCGCCGCTTGATCTCGGGCACTGTACTGCCATTGGTGATGCTGGTGGTGCTAGTGGTCTCACTTTCTGATTTTGTACAAAGCCTATCTAGCACGCTCAATGGGGTTCTTGTGCATGACATTGTATCCAACATTGACTCGTACCATTCCATCTCCACCATTTCTTGCACTGCATTAAAGCAGCTCAACAGCTTCTCCTAAACCATGATTAGTCATTAATTAATTATCACCAATTCTGAGCAGAGGATATAAATATATAGATATACAACCTAAAACATAATAATAATAATAATAAGTGGGGTGTTGGTTTATTTCTTGCTTATTTATTTCTTGCTTACTTTATTTACAAATGCACAGGAGGAGAATGAGCACTTGAACAAAGGGAATTGCAATGGGAGTAGTTCATTGGATGCTACAAGAAGGGCTGATGCTGCAACAATAGATGGCTTGAACTCTAGAAACTTGATTTCTGCAACAAAAACGTAGGGTTAAGCTCTATAAGAAGGATGAAGCTAAAAGTAATTGCACAAAAGTTTGTGAGTGCAATGAGTTACCATTTTGAGCCTTAAAAATAATCTCTGTAGCTCTGTCTTTGAGAGGTTGTGAGGTTGATGGATCTTTGAGTTCAAGTACAGAAATAAAGAAATGCACAAAGGAGAAAGGTGTAATCGATCTCATTCTCCAATTCAAGGCATCAAGAATGAGAAGTTCCATGCGATTAATGGTTTGTGTGTCAAAGATGAAACCAGCTTCCTCTCCCTGTTTCATTGCTTAAACAAGCTATGCACATAAGTTTCCACGGCCAACTTTGTGTTACATTTTTCCAACTAATAATAAATGTGGAGATGCGATGGTTTGTTACCTGAAAATCAGAGACTGAGAAGTGGGCGTTCTTCATCTTTGCAGCTAGAGAAAGGCAAGAGATTACTAGAAGTCTAATAATCCATGGCTTCCCTTGCTTCAAAGAACCAAGAATTCAGCAAGAATAAACCAAGGATTTTAACAAAACAGCAAAAGACATTTTGTATATTTTAGCTAGCTCGACTGCATACCGGAATTTCTTGTTTGGAAATGAATCGATCCATGTAATTAACAGCAAGGTAAGGTATGAAGGCGTCATGGTTGCAAGAATATTGTGCCTGTCAAAAGCTAAGACAACATTATTACAACACAAAACACAAGATCCATAAAAGTAAGTTACAGTCATTAGTGTTATGTTTTTACCTGTAAAATGAGAGAAATGGCTTCTTGACGAAAGGAGACATAGAAACCAGAGGTTTTCAAGCAGTGTAGGAGATTTCTTGAAGGCATGTGATCAGATTCAGAGGCAAAGAGATTTGGGACTGTATCAAATTGTTGTTCTTCCAAGCTTGTCATAGTGTTCTCAAGATCAAACTCCATTTTTCAACTTTTGTTTCGAGTCTCTGTGAAAGTGTGTTCGTATTTGTATGAAAATGTGTTTTTATAAGAAATGAGAAAGAAACAGAGGCGAGAAGAGCAGCGAGGGAGTGTGAGAAAAGTGAGGCAAAGAAGGTGAATAGTAATAATGATGGAAAGAGAAGCTTCGCTTTCTGTGCTTAAAAACGGAAGAAGAAGGAGGAGGAGGAGAAGAAGAAGAAAAACAATATTTTAGTCTTCAGCTTCACTTCTCAGTTTCCATTACTTTATATGCAGAGTTGCAAGATTGGGTTCGGTTGGACCTTAAAAAATGTTTGGGTTATTAAGTTAAAAAATGTTTGGGTTATTAAGTTATTAGATTAACTTAAAGCATCATGTAAATTTAAATTAATTATATTTTTTTATTAAAGCAACGTTGTCTTGTTTTTTTGAAAAGAAAAAAAAAATTGTTGATGTTAACCTAGAAATCTATATCTATGTAAACCCTCTTAATTTACCAAATTAATTAGATAAATTTATTTTTCTATCCAAATTAAAATATGATCCAGAGTAGGTTTTGAATAACAATTTTTTTATATGAATTTATCAAGACACGTTAAATTAAATTTTTTTATAAAAAACGAGGTCTTCACGTAGCTCTAGAACAAACCAATGAAATAGTGATTTGACAAAAATGCCACTAACCTAAAAAAAAACTTTAATCTAGACATTAAAGAGGAGATGGTATTTTTATCAGTGCACTATTGTCTTTAATAATTTTTACTGGATTAGGTTAGCAATTTTCTTTTTGTATAATAAAATTATTAATTTAATTATGCATTGCAAAACTCATATCTTTCAATCATGAGTATTATAATTTTTTTATTTAAAAAAATTAAATTACTTTATTACTTTGAAAACAAAATTAACATAACTCTTTTTCAAAATTAACATAACTCTTTTACAAGTGCTACGGTAACCTTTTACATTAGTTTGATTATTAATATGAATAGTACTTAATAGTATCATTGTAATTGATCATATAATTAATATTATCATATTGCGCCTTTCAAGTAATATAAGTAATGTAGCTGAAGCCTTTTCTATCAACAAACATCACTTTTCGTGATTGTACATTAGAAGTGTTCAAAAAAACCGATTAAATTAAGAAAACCAGAAAAAAAAAATTGAAAAAACCGAATCGAAAAAAAAAACCAATTAAACCGATTAAAATTTTGAAAAAATCAGCCGGTTCGGTTCGGTTTCGATTTTATAACCAAAAAACCGAACTGAACCGAACCGAACCGAAACTGGAAAAAAACCAAGCCAAAATCGAGCAAAACCGGAAAAACCGAGCCAAAACCGAGCCAAACCGGAAAAACCGAGCCAAACCGATTTGAACTGGTTTTTCCCTTAAAAAACCGAACCGAACTGAACCGAAACCGGTCGGTTTGACCCGGTTTCAGTTCGGTTTCGGTTTTTTTTTTTCAAATTTTTTTTTCCGGTTTGGTTATTTTTTTTTATGAAAACCGAACCGAACCGAAAATGAACACCCCTACTGTATATGGAAGATTTTAGCACCTATTTTGTTATGGGGCAGCATATATACCAAATATATCTTTAGTTTAAAGTCGACAATTATTTTTTCTTTTTCTTTTTTGAATTTCAAATTAGCTCATTTAAAATTTTAAATCAGCTCCTGTAATTTTTATTTTTACATTTGATCTCTACTCTTTTTATTATAATTTTTTATTTTAAATAATCTTTAAAATTTAAAATATTTTACAATTTTAACCCTTTTTATTTTTTAATCTTTTACATTTCACCCTTATTTTCTTGATTGCTATTTATTTTGTTTCGTATTATTTTTTTAGATTTTTTTCTTATAATTTCATCATCTTTGAGTTTTTTTTAATCAAATTTATTCTTTATTATTTTTATTGCTACCTTTCTTGATATGACAAGTTTATTAAATTGATATTATTTTCATGATTTCATCGATTTAAATTAAATTGATTGAGAATTAAGCTTTTTAATTGAATCTAAAGCTAGGGTTTCAAGAGTTGCGAGTTTTAGATATTAAATTAAGTTTAGGAGGTTCCTTGAGATTTGCTTCTTTTTTTTTTCTTTTTTTTAAGATAATATTTCCTAATTTTTTTTAGAGTTTTGCTTTGTTATTTTTTATATTTTGTTTTCTATGAGTTAGTATCAGGTTCATAACCAAAATTACTATTTTTAAAGATTAATGAGAGTTGAATTTATTTATTTTTTAATTTAATTATTTTAATTTTATTATTCAATATTTGATTTATTAGAATTTGGTTATCCCGATCATAAGCCCATGTTTGTGAGGTTAGCAACTAATTTAGGTTGACTCATATTTTTATTTATTATTTATTTATTTTTATTTTTTAATATTGAGTTGTCTGATAATTAAATTTTATATTTTATTCAATGTACTTTCAAACGATAGTATTGGATCAATGATTTTGTATTTTGATTCAAATGGACTCGAATTGAGGTTTTTTATTATATTTTTGTTAGTTTTTTTTTATTTGATGGAGATTAAGCTTCAAACTTTTTCTTTTTATTTTATTTTACGTAGAGTTATAATGTTCAACATAAGAAGTTGTTCAACATAACTATGCTTATACTGGTACTGGTCCCCGCCTCGCTTTCTCTGTTATGGGGAAAGAAAACAGTAACATTTGTTGAATTCTTTTGTTTTTACAGTAGATAGACATTCAGAATAAATACTGCCAATTAAATAAAGTCAAAAAATAAAAGAATTTCCGGTGTAAAGAAGGTCTGTTGAAAAGTAATTCCTGAAAAAAATATTTGGTTAATGATTATGTCTGAAAAAAGAAAGGAAAAGCAATTAAAGAATTAATATTTACTAACTTGTGCTACATTAAAGGTAAGATTAATTTATTTTTTTATAATATAAAAAAATATTTAAAAATTATTAATATTTTTTAGTATAAAAAATTAAAATAATATAGAGATTGACTCGACATGACCTAATCATCTTCACAGGTTTAAAGATAACCTGAATAATTAGTAAAAATATAATTTCATTTAAAATAAATATTTAAGATGAATTGTTTTTCATAAATACTGAAACAACGACATATTGAATTGATTCGGGTTTACTCTGGTTAACTTGCCAACCCCTATGTTGAGTCATGAGATTATAATAACTTCATAAAAAATAAATCAAATAAATTATGAAACTTAATTTTTAATAAATCCAATATTGAAGGATGAAATTGAAAAACAAAAATCAATTAAAAAAAACACTCAAGTCAATTTGGTTAATCTACCAAACTCATATCCTGAGTCATGAAACCAAGATAACCTAATATAAAGTAAATTAAAATAAATTATTAAGTTCAATTCCTAATCAACTAAGTGTTAAAAGATAAAATAAAAAAATTAATTAAAAAATATAGAAAAACAACTTAAATCAACTCTAGTTAATCTGCAAAACTCATGACTGAGGCATGAGAGAAGGGTAGTATCATAAAAAGAAAACCAAAATAAATCATCAATCAAATTCTCAATCAAACTAATATCAAATGATGAAATTGATAAAAAAAAATCAATTAAAAAAAGAAATAAAAATGAGTCAAACGAGTTAACCCGTCAAATTATAGTCCAGATCATAAAACTAAAATAACCTTATAAAAATTAAATTGAGAACAATTGTGAAATTCAATCCCCCAATAAACCTAATATTGAAAAATATAATTGAAATTGAAAATTTAATTAAAAAATAAAAAAAATCACTCGAATCAATCTCGATTAGCTTACCAAACTCGTAACTCGAGTCATGAGATGAGAATAACCTCATAAAAAAATAAAAATAAATAAATATTATAGTCTAATTTCCAATCAATCAAATGCTAAAAAATGATATTAAAAAAAAATCAGTTAATTTTTTTTTAAATTAATCAAGTTAACTCATCAAACTAAATTTAATTCAGATTAGGAGACTAAGATAACCATGGAAAAAGTAAATTATAAAAATTATAAAATTTAATTATTAATAAAACTAATAATGAAGGATGCAACTATAATTGAAAAAAAAAACCCTTAGATTAAAACCACAAGGAAAAACAAAACTTTATTGTAGTGAATATTTTTTTAGAAGGGAACAATGAAATATTTTCAAATATTAAAAGGTAAAATTAAAAGAAAATTAGAAAAAAAATTGAAATAACTAAGTTAACATGTATATCTACATAAAATGTAAATTAAAAAAATTATAAAATTTAATTTTTAATAAATTTAATATTAAATGATTAAATTAAAAAAATTATAAAATTTAATTTTTAATAAATATAATATTAAATGATAAAATTAAAAAATTTAAATAAATAAATAAATAAAACATCATTATAATAAATAATATTTTATAAAAAGAAGAACAATAAAATGTCATTTTCTTTGAGTGTTTTATTTTTTCCCTGCAAATGTTTGCACAAAAAGCAATAACAAGGACAGTTAGCACTACTAGGCACTTGTTGATCTGATCACATGATGGGTATCCTTATCAGTCATCTTTCACAAAATGCCTTTAGGGTGAAAAGAGATGCTTAATACTTTTTTACTCTTTTTTTAAATTAATATCCATTTTAATTTAAGAATTTAAATTGTTATATAAAATTTAAAGAATAATTTTATATTATTTTTTAATATATTCTCTTAAATAAACTTAAAATTTGTACAATTTAATTATTATCTTATACATAATTTTATTAATTTAATTTATTAAAATAAAGATGTTAAAATTAAAACTTGCATAGGTTTATTATTATCTTATACTTAATTTCATTAATCTAATTAGTTAGAATAAAATAATAAAATTTAAACACGTATTCCTTCAATATTATATTAAAAAATTATTTTAATTAAAAAATTTATATTATTAAATAAGATTTTAAATAATTTTCATGAGAATAAGGTAATTTATACATTTAAGTTTTCATGAGAATAAGGTGCATTTTTATGGAATGTTGTATGAAGACGATGAATATAATCAGTAACATATGTATTATTTTCAATAAATTCAATCCTAGCTAGGTTTTTATTTTATTATTTTATTTTATTTGGCAAAATTTGTTATCCATCACATTAACTGTAAATCAATAGATTGCAACATATATTTAAATGTACATTAAAATATTCATAGCACTGATTATATTTAAAATATAAATTTAAATTATCCCAACTGAAACTTCTAGGATTAGAATAATGCTAAGTATCTCAACGA